GCTCACAGGCTTTTAAGACTCCAGACACTACTCACCAAGGTAGAATGTAGAGCATTGTCTTTATAACCTGTGTCATGCCAATTGAGGTAGATGTTCCCCGAGGGTGTATCAGCATTTTTAATGTGTATATTTTTGACTTAGCAATTCCAATTATTAAAAAATAAAATGCACATAATGTACTGCTATGCAGCCATTAAAAAGTGAGGTACAAGCAAAGTCAAAAACATGATAATCTGGAGGGATACGTTTGCAATTCACATCACAGCATTCTAATTTTCTTAGAAAAAGGAAAAATCGAGGAGAAAATGATGAACAACTCAACAGAAAAAAAATAGACAAAGGATATGAACAGCTAGTTCACAGAAAAGGAATTATAAAAGGCTTTTGAGCATATGAGAAGACACCCAACCTTGTTCATAGTAAGAAAAATGCATATTGAAAGTTTACCAATCACTACTTTCTACCCATCATATTGTAAAAAATTGCCGATTTTGACAATACACCACGTTGGCAAAACTGAAATCCAAAGAGACTCAAATTGAAGAAAGCAGCTAACACTGCCTTGCAAAATAAAATGAAATACTGATTTCACTATGAGAATAGTACTTGCAAGTTTCTAAAAATTACTTCATTGGGTTTTCTTTCTTTGAATAATAAAAAGCAATACATGTCTACTACTACAAACCTAATCAGACACAAAAATAAAAAAGGTTCTCCCAACCTTTCCAAAAATCCCTCTCTACTCCAGTAATCAACATTTACAGTTTGAATTTAAGGGTTTTTTTGCTCCCTAGCAGATGTTAGGAGCCCTGGTGGTGCTGTGGTTAAGAGCTAGGCTGCTAACCAAAAGATTGGCACTTAAGCAAAGAGGATTTGAAGCACTTACTGATGAAGGTCAAAGACTACATACAGACTTCAGCATGGATTACACTTCAACATAAAGAAAACAAAAATCCTCACAACTGGACCAAGAAACAATATCATGATAAACGGAAAAAGATTGAAGTTGTCAAGGATTTCATTTTACTTGGATCCACAATCAACACCCATGGAAGCAGCAGTCAGGAAATCAAACCACGTATTGCATTGGGCACAAGTGCTGCAAAAGACCTCTTTGAAGTGTTGAAAAGCAAAGAAGTCACTTTGAAGACTAAGGTGCACCTGACCCAAGCCATGGTATTTTCAGTCACCTCATATTTATGCAAAAGCTGGACAATGAGTAAGGAAGACCGAAGAAGAATTGGTGCCTTTGAATTATGGTATTATGGTATTGAATATATTATCAGCTGCCAGAAGAACGAACAGGTCTAGCTTGGAAGAAGCACAGCCAGAATGCTCTTCAGAAGCAAGGATGGCAAGACTTCATCTCACATACTTTCGACATGTTATCAGGAGGGACCAGTCCCTGGAGAAGGACATCTGTTTGTTAAAGTAGAGGGTCAGTGAAACAGAGAAAGACCCTCAATGAGATGGATGGACACAGTGGCTGCAACAATGGGCTCAAGCATAACAACGATTGTGAGGGTGGTGTGGGACCAGGCAGTGTTTTGTTCTGTTGTAGATAGAGTCACTATGAGTCAAAAGTGACTCAAAGGCACCTAACAACAACAACATTGGTATAAACCCATCGCTGTTGAATCATTTCGACTGATAGCTACTCTGTAGGACAGAGTAGAACTGTCGCATAGGGGTTCCAGGGTTGTCAATCTTCACAAAAGCAGACTGCCACATCTTTCTCCTGTGGAGCTGCTGGTGGGTTCAAACTGCTGACCTTTCGGTTAGCAGCGCTATGTTATGTTGTTGAAGGTGAATTCATTCACTCGATTCATGTTTATTGAGCGTCTACATGTCAGCGCTCTGCTAAGCTCTGGGGATAAATGACAAACCCCAACATAAAACTCCATTAGGCAAGACCTGTCTGTTTTGCTCACCATAGTATTCGTAGTGGCTAGGGCAGTAGATGAAGGTCTTAGCTTTGCTTTCCCTTATCACTTCTCTAAGTATACCTCCTACTCCATCATTCTGATTATGTAATTTGTTAAGTGTTTCCAAGTGCCAATTTTGATTCCGTCTCTCTCCCTTTCCCCAGGTTTTAGCTCCATTGGGGTAGGGAACATATCTTTTCTACTCATCACAGTATCCCTAGCCCCTATCAGAGTGCTTGGCATATAATAAACCCGTTGCCATTGAGTAGGTTGTGACTCATAGTGACTCTGTATGACAGACAAGAACTGGTTTCCAAGTTGCGGCTGGTGGATTTGAACGGCCACCCTTTTGGTTACCAGGCCATATAATAGAAACCCGGCAAATACGTGTTCATTGACTGTGTGTCAGGACATGCACGTTTCCTCCTCCAAAGCGAACGTTCCCCAGGTCTGGTCTGAAAATAGGCCACGCCGCGCGAACCTCGCTAGCCTCGCCCCTCCTCAGTCCCTGGGAGGAAAGGAGCCCAGCCTTGGCCCCGCCCCCGCTGGTGACGCGACGCACGTGACAGGCGCCGGTGTGCGCTGTTTCCGGAAGTCTCGGTCGCCGGCACGGACGTCTCTGCTCTTGCTGCCGTGTGTGTCGTCGCCGTGGCCGCCAAGTTCTGCGAGTAGAACGGTGTAGCGGGCCGGGTTCCGGCCACTCTGCAGAATGGAAATAATCAGGAGTAGTGCGTGTCCGCCCGTGCATCTTCCCACGTCCCTTATCACCCTGCTAGGCCTAAGCCTTAGACCAGTCTGCTTGGCGGGGCCTGGGGCTGAGGCGGCAGCTCGGGGTTTTGCCCCGTTAGGCACGCGCACCCTCCGAGGCTTTGCCTCTCTCCGTCTGCGCACGCCTCGGGGCTTGTTCCCCTCGGCTGTGCACCGCTCGGGGCCTTGTCTTCCCCGGCTCGCGTACCCCTTGGGGTTGTCCCCGCCACCCCGTGAATCCCTCGGGGCTTGTCCTCCTCCAGCCCCTGGCCTCAGGGGCCCCTAGGTTCTCCCCTCTCCCCTTAGGAGACCGCGGCCAGAAAGCCAGGCTCTGGTTCTAAACTTCCTTTCGGTTTCTCTGCAGATTTTAAGAGTAATCTTCACAAAGTGTACCAGGCCATAGAGGAGGCTGACTTCTTCGCCATCGATGGGGAGTTCTCAGGTATCCCTGGTTTGCAAGCTCAGTGCTAGCACCTTGCATTATATAGCCACGTCTCCTTTTCTCGCCTTCGCCTTCTCATGCCTGCTGGCAGGACGTAGCTCATTTCGTAGCCTTTGGCAAGTTGCATGAGTGCCAACGTTTCCTCTTAAACGTTTGAAAAGCTTGGAAGAGATACGGTGGGTTTGTGACTGTTCCGCTGTCTGAGGGTTGTTGATAGGGAGGATGGTATTGGTGTTGCAGACAACAGTTTGACATGTACTTGGTAGAAGGCTTGTGGATTAGAATCAGGCTTTTGCAGGTGAATGAGGGTATTCCTTTATGCGTTGGTGAAGACGTTAATCGCCAACCTTGGAAAGAGTGTGTTTGTGTAGAGCAACTCTTATAGTAAATTGGAAGGTTTGTTTTCCCCCTTTTCCTCTTGGATCAAAGGCTAATTTTTAAATTGTTGGAGTCATGACAGGTTTGTTCCCTTTGGTATAGATACCCACTTTTGCTCCTTGATTTTACAGATTTTAAAAACTCTTCAGCTCTTTCTAAAGGAATCCTGCTGGTTTAAGTATGATCCTTGGGTCCTGCATGCAGTTTCTAGTTGAAGTCAATTCCCTGGCAGCTGAGTTTTCACCAGAAATAATGTTCTCTTGTCCTGAAAATGCCCTTGTGGTGTAGATTTTCCTCCAAACTGTTGACCAAGAGTGGTGTACTAGCACTAATATACTTCAGGATTGTTGTTTGATTATGCGTTAATTCTTTGGAAAGCAACAAAACTTATTCAGATATAGAGGTTGTGATACTGTGTTTTGAAACCCATTTTAGACACTGGAACTGCCCATTCTGAAGTTGAAACATTCACATCCCCAAATTCATTCTTACAGAGTTTAGATTGGTGGCCAGTGAAATTAATGCCTGTCTTAGTCATCTAGTGCTGCTATAACAGAAATACCACAAGTGGGTGGCTTTAACAGAATACATTTATTCTGTCACAGTTTAGGAGCTAGAAATCTGAATTTAGGGTGCCAGCTCTAGGGAAGGGCTCTCTCTCGGCTCTGGGGGAAGGTCCTACCTAGTTCATCTCTTTTTATATCTCAAAAGGCATTGACTCAAGACACATTTCACACTAATATGGTCTCATTAACATAACAAAGAAAACCCATTTGCAAATGGGACTATAACCACAAGTATAACCCGAATCCATAGCCATCGAGTAGATTCTGATTAGTATCGACCCCATAGGACAGAGCAGAACTGCTGCATAGGGTTTCCAAGGCTGTAAATCTTTATGGAAGCAGATTGCCACATTGTTCTCCTGTGGAGCTGCTGGTGGGTTCAAACCAGCAACCTTTCGGTTAGCAACCAAGTTCTTAACCACTGTGCCACCAGGCCTCCAACCACAAGTATAATCCATTGTCTTTGAGTCAGTTCCAACTCATAGTGACTGTCTTAGTCATCTAGTGCTGCTATAACAGAAATACCTCAAGTGGATGGCTTTAACAAAGAGAAATTTATTTCCTCACGGAAGAGTAGGCTAGAAGTCCAAATTCAGGGCGTCAGCTCCAGGGGAAGGCTTTCTCTCCCTGTTGGCCTTCTCATCAGTTTTCCCCCTGACTAGGAACTTCTCGAATGCGCAGGGACCCCAGGTCCAAAGGACATGCTCTGCTCCTGGCACTGCTTTCTTGGTAGTATGAGGTTCCCAGTTCTCTGCTTGCTTCCGTTTCGTTTTCTCTCTTGTAAGATAAAAGGTGGTGCACCAGGAAAACTCCTTTTACATTGGATCCGGGGTGTGACCTTAGTAAGGGTGTTACAATCCCCTCCTAATCTTCTTTAACATAAAACTACAGTCATAAAATGGAGGACAGCCACATAATACTGGGAATCATGGCCCAGCCAAATGATACACACATTTTTTGGGGGACATAATTCAATCCATGATAGCGACCCTATAGGACAGAGTAGAACTACCACGTAGGGTTTCCATGGAGCGCCTGGTAGATTCGAACCGCCGACCTTTTGGTTAGCAGCCTTACTCTTAACCACTACGCCACCAGAGTTTCCAACCACAAGTACAGGAGTTAGGATTTACAACATCATGTATTTTTTGGGGACATAATTCAATCCATAACAATGCTAATTTTGACAAAGAGTTCAGGAACACTTCCAATTAATCTTAATTCATAAGAACATGAAATTTATAGAGGCATTGAATGGTTGACATTTTTACATCGTTGTTGTTTGCCATCGAGTTGATTACAACTCATAGCGACCCTATAGGACAGAGTTAGCATTTATTAATAAGTTAAAACTTTTATTTCTTAAATTCTAGGAATCAGTGATGGACCTTCAGTCACCGCATTAACAAATGGTTTTGACACTCCAGAAGAACGGTATCAGAAGCTCAAAAAGGCAAGTAGATGTGTTAGAAAATCTTTTCTTTCCCATGGTGACTCTCTCAATGTCGAATCATAGAGAAATATAATCATTAAACTTGCACGTAAAGTTTTTTAAGTGCAGCACTTCTTCCTAACTGCAACCATGAAATGATATTTTAATGATCCTTAAAATAAACAGCAAAAATAATTGTCTGCTGGAAAACATGTTGGGGAAGGTTTAGTATTTTCAGTGTTAATTTGGTTTTTTGGAAATGTGATGTGGTTGTTTGAATCTTTTAGAAATAGGTGTAATATACTCTGGATGATGGATAGGTACTTAATTGGGGAAAAAATAGTCAAGAAATGTATGTAAATCAATAATACCTCTGATATCGAATGCATATAATCTGTTCTAATTGGAAGTATTCTGCCAAAGTCAAGTTGAGTGATTCAGAAAGTCCACCTAATTGAAAGTACTGTTGCTCCTGTTGAATATACAGCACAGTTTTGACAAATGTTTTATTTTCTTTTCCAGCATTCCATGGACTTTTTGCTGTTTCAGTTTGGCCTTTGCACTTTTAAGTATGACCACACAGATTCAAAGTAGGTTGTTTTAACAAGCATCTAGAATTCTTTTGTCATGGCATAATGTAACCCCCTAAGTCTGTTTATCTTTTATTTTCCCCAGGTATATAACAAAGTCATTTAACTTTTACGTTTTCCCGAAACCCTTCAATAGATCCTCACCAGATGTCAAATTTGTTTGTCAGGTTAGTAGCGTAATTGAGTTTTTGTTTTATGAATGGCTGATGAGGCAGTGTGGAAATGTGAACTTATTTAATTCAGGAATTTAGATCAAACTCTATTTAAAATTTGATTCTACCACTAACTTTGTAACTCCAGGTTTTGGGCGAATCGTTTAAGTTCTCTGACCTTCAGTTTTAGGGTTATAAATTAATGACACCTCTGTGTCTCTCTTAACTTCAGAACGAGTTGAGGAATAAGATGCAAGAGTCAGACAGATGGAAATCAGAACATCAGCATTATTATCGACAAAGCTGAAGTTGAGAATGTGCTTCATAATGCGGTTCAATCTGGGATTCCTAATGTCTTACCCCTCAGTTGAACCTCCACATCTAGATCTGCAGGCTTCTCCCTGCCCTGTTCTCCTTGCACCCATCTCCCAGGGTAGAGTTTTTTTCTCTGGAAGAGCAAAGTATATGTGTGTCATCTCTAAAAAGAGAGAACCCAGATTAAGTGGTAACACAGTTTGGAGAGCCTGAAGGGCGGGCTTCTGAATGATTGGGTCCTCAAATTCTTTTTGGAATAATGTGGTGTGGGACAAAGAACTTGGTTTGGTCCTTTGATTCTGGTTTCTGAAAATAACCTGAGTAATGAAGATGCCTTTATTTGCCTTTATTTTACAAAATAACTGGGCAAGTAGGGGCTACATAGCACCCCCCCACAAAAAAAAACCACACCAGTTGTCATCGAGTCGACTCATGTGACCCTATTAAAAAAAAAAAAAACAGACCAAACCACCATCTGAGGTGCAGGAAGTTGTGTAGACTCCTAAGCCTACAGCTGTACCTGATGACCTGGCCTCAGGTGGCCAGGAATGTTTCAGCCTGGCTCGGGATTACGGGGATGAGGTCTGATCTAACTCTGGGTGGTTAGGGTCAGAGAGAAGAATTGCCACGGAAGTGACTGGCGACGGGTTTGGAGATGTAGGAAGGTGAAGTCTGGATCTGTTTCCAGCTGGGAATTGGGTTTATGCTGGTCCTTGCCACACGGTTAGTGGTAAAGGTGGGGTTTGCCTACCTTGCGCCTTCTTTTATAGTGAAGTTGGTAGCGCATTCCTACTAGCAGGATGTAAACAAATGAAATTGAGATTTAAGTGGGTTCATAACTTTGGCCATGGGTTTATGGGTTAATCAAACAAAAGCAAATGTTGACAATGAGATCTTAGGAATGATATTCTGTTCTAAAAGACTAACAAGAATATGGTTATTCTGGGATATGTAAACAGATCAGAAGAACCCTACCCATTGTACAAAACCATGTTGTGGCTATGCTTGGAACAATGAAGTTCTAGTTGCCAGCCACCCCTTGGGAAAAAAAAAGATAAAATAGACTTGAAGACAGGCCAGAGACTAAACGTCTGAAATGGACAAAGGGATAAGGGAACTGTGATTTTTGAGGCAGAGTAAAAATGCTGGGATTCTCTAGTCTGGAAAAACAAAGGCAGAGAAAAGGCTTAGACTCAGTATGTAAACACACGAGTTGTATGCATAAGGTAAATGCGTCTTTGCATTCTTCCTTTTGTCCCCCGTTTAAGGTGATTTTTGATAAAATGCTATGACTGCAGCAGAGTTGCATTTTAAAAAGGAATTTTAGAATCAGCGAGTATGTGTCTAGTCGTAATTGCTTTTGAAAAGCTCTTAACCTTAAAGCATATGGGGTTTAGGGGTAAAGCACTCTAATAAGTTCTTTGGTAAAGAAGCATCTGACACTGTAGGCCGGATGCGGAGGGATAGGCTGACAATCGCACGCACACTCGGGGAATGTCCACATTGAGTGGGATGGCAGGCAGGATGGCATCCGGCTACATCATTTTCTTCTCCTCTTCCTTCTTCTGCTATTTCATTTTCTGACTAAAGATCTATAGTTGAATTCATGGAAGGTAATGCCTATGTCAGGGAGCCCTGGTGGTGCAATGGTTAAGCGCTCGACTGCTAACGTAAAGGTCAGTGATTCAAAGCCACCAGTGGCTCCATGGGAGAAAAGACCTGATGATCTCCCAGAGAGATCATAGCCGTTGAAAACCCTGTGGAGCGCAGTTCTCTTCTGACACACATGGGGTTGCCATGAGTTGTAATCAACTTGACAGCAACTGGTTAATGCATATATAGTTGTGAAAAATTAAAGCGTTATTGTTGTATCAGTTGCCGTTAAGTTGATTCTGACTCATGGCGCCCTCGTGTATTAGCGTAGAAGTGTGCTTTATAGGGTTTTCAAAGGCTGATTTTTCAGAAGTAGATTACTAGGCCTTTCTTCGGAGGTGCCTCTGGGTGGACTTGAACCTCCAACCTTTCCGTTAGCAGCTGAGCACGTTAACCACTTGCACCACCCAGGGACTCCCCTTACTGCTACTATATGGAGTAAAAAAATGAATTTCCTTTCTTACATCCTCTTCCCCGTGCCACTTCCCTCCCCGTTTCCCACTTTTCGTCTGGCCTTTATATACATTTAGCTATGTATTTCCATGTATCTGCTCTGTCCTACAGGGTCGCTATGAGTCAGAATCGACTCATTGGCAGCAGGTTTGGTATTTTTTGGTTTGGTATATACACGTATACATAATTTTATTTTTTTTCTTTAATATAAATAATATAAATGAGATTCTAATGTTCATCTTTTATATAACTTGCATTTTCCACTCAATGGAATGTCCTCTTTTTTCATAGTATGGGTATGTGTAATTTATTTAATCAGTCCTTTATTGGAATCTAGAGGATTTTCAGTGGCTTTCTTTATAAACAGTGCTATCGCCCATATCCGGGTATGGTGTATCTTTTTGTATATGTAGGAGTATTTCTGTGGGGTGGATTTCCCCCCCCACAGAAGTGGAGTTGCTGAATCACAGGACATGTGTGTTTAAAATTTTGATAGATGCCTCAAATTGTCCTCCCAGATAGCTGTGCGTATCTCTTGAATCTTGAAAAGAGCATATTTAGGACAAATCCTAAAGGTAGTAGATAGTAAATCATAGATTTTGTGGGTTCAGAAGCCATTTAGGGTGGAAAATATATGTAGCTTCAAAAAGGGAATAGCGGTAACTAGTGTCACTGAATTGTACCTGTGAAAAATGTTGAATTGGCAAGTATTGTGTTGTCTCTCCATTTTACGACAATAAAAGATTACACACTAGCAATCTTCACCTGGAACCCTGCTGGCACAGTGGTTAAGAGCTCACCTAGTAACCAAAAGTCGGCAATTCGAATCCACCAGCTGCTCCTTGGAAACCCTATAGGGCAGTTCTACTCTGTCCTGTAGGGTCGCTGTGAGTTGGAATCAACTCGATGGCAATGGGTTTACAGAATCTTCGACTATTTTTTTAAAAAAAAAGGAACAGATGAATCTTTTCGTGTATTTGTGGTAAAATACACATAAAATTTACCAGGTTAACATGTACAGTTTAGTGACATTAAGTAGATTCACAATGTTGTGCCATGGTCTTGTTCCAGAACTTTTTAATCGCCCCCGCCCAGCCCCTAGCAATCACTAATGTTTCTGTCTCTGTGGATGTACCTATTCTGGACTTTTCATATATAAATGGGATCATACAGTGTGTAGCCTTTTGTGTCTGGCTTCTTTTTACTGAGCATAGTATTTCAAGGTTCATCCATGTTGTAGCAGGTATCAGTACTTCATTCCTTCTTATGGCTGCATAGTATCCCGTTGTATGTTATACCACATTTTGTTATATCCATTCATCCATTGATAGACGTGGGTTGTTTCCATGTTTTGACTATTGTGAATAGTGCTGCCATGAACATTCATAACAAGTTTTTGAACACCTGTTCTCAGTTCTTTTGGGTATATGCTTAGGAATAGAATTGCTGGGTCATGTAGATGACTATTCCACTACAGATTTTTAATTGGATAAAGGGAATTAGAGTGTTTTAGAGTCTAGTGACAGGAGGGCAGAAATGCCTTTCCATATTCCATCCTTCGGTGCCTTTGTTAAAGATGGAATATTGAGATAGGCAGAATTATAGGAACACTCAGCCATGGCAGACGGAAAGACGGTGGTCCAAGTCAGAGGATGCTGGATCTTGGATCAGAACAGGATAAAAAGGGAACAAGTGGGGTAGAAGTTTCCTTGTTTTAAACCATAGAAAACCTAGGCATGATGAACAGGGGTAGATGACCTCATAAGCAAAGTAAGCACAGGCTGACTTTGATGTGGTGAAATGCATGTGAGATTGGTCACTATACATTAGTAAGTAAGCACAAGTAAGCCTGTGCTTACCTTGTTTATGGGGTCATCCGCACCTGTTAGGGATTGTAAATTTGAAAAGCGGCTTTGTGTCGGAAAGTGCTGTGGCGTTGGGAGAGAGACAGATACCAGCCATACCTAGAAGCAGAATATTTGATGTGGTGAAAAAATGTGAAATTGTTCACTACAGAGGATCTGGTAAGCAAGGTAAGCACCGTGCTTACCTTGCCTATTGGATAATTTGCCCTGCTGATGAAAAATGATTTGTATATACCCGTGTATGTCTGTATGGGTGAGATTGTCATTTTGTATCCCACTGTGTTTTTAGAAGGATTTGTGTTGGCTAATAAAGATGCAATATTTTACCTTTTATTATAAGATTAAAAAAACAAGTAGAAAAAAGACGAGGATATGATTAGTATAAGGTGGTTGTTGTTAGGTGCTGTTGAGTCGATTTCGACTCATAGCAACCCCATGTGACAGAGTAGAACTGCTGCATAGGGTTTTCCAGGCTGTAATTATTAAGGAAGCAGACTGCTAGGTCTTTCTCCCATGGAGCTGCTGGTTTGGGTTCGGACCACCAACCTTTTGGTTAGCAGCCGAGCCCTTAACCACTTTGCCACCAGCGCTCCATGCAGCACAGAATTTGTGTCAAAGAAAGTCGCAATTATTTGTCTCTGAGCTTCCTAGCAGCTAAGAAAAGAGGGAAACGATTAGTTCCATGGTTCATAGACCAAAACAAACCAGGGCTCGGGAAGTACAGCTTTTCTGACAACAGAGGTCTCAGAACATTTACCCTTGAAGTATCATAAAGAAATCATTCATTACAAAACCTTATTTTCCAGCACATGTCTCAGTGAGTACAGTGATGGATGGAATGGGACTGTTCGGTACAGTGTCCCTCAGGCTGATCATATGTCAAAGTGCAGTTCTGGAAAGGTGGTTCTGTGAAGGACAAAATGAAAATGATTCAGGTGTATAACCCTCTGATGTTCTGATTTAACCCAAGTATAAAATTAGAATAACTACAGTAATGTTAAGGAGCCCTGGTGGCACAGTGGTTAAAGTGCTGAGCTGCTAACCGAAAGGTCAGCAGATGAAACCCACCAGCCGCTCTGTGGGAGAAAGATGTGGCAGTCTGCTTCCATAAAGATTACAGCCTTGGAATCCTATGGGGCAGTTCTACTCTGTCCTATAGGGTCACTGTAAGTTGGGATCAACTCGATGGCAACAAGTTTACAGTGATGTTTCCTACTCTTCAGTCGATTGGAGGAAGAGCGTCATGACATCTGCCGTAGTGGTGTACCATCTCTAGTATTGTTTACTTAATGTTTTTATTTAAATCTACTGACGTATTTTGGCTCAGCCTAAGCTATTCGTGAATTCATAGGTTTGAGATGTGTATGCATAGTAGGACTTATTACTGGGAACTTTTCTCTGTTTTGATTTTAAACATATAAAACCCAAACCTATTGCTACCAAGTCCATTCTGACTCATAGCGACCCTATGGGACAGAGTAGAACGGCCCCATAGGGTTTTCAGGGCTTGATCTTTATGGAAACAGACTGCTACATCTTTCTTCCGTGGAGTAGCTGGTGGGTTCGAACCACCAACCTTTCAGTTAACAGCTGAGTGCTTAATCCCTGCGCCACCAAGGCTCCCTCTTAAACATACAGAATATCCAGTTAAGACTTTGGGTTTTCAAAATGTAATTTGAGGTGGATGTTGATGTCTTATAACCTACACTTGTGAGTTACCTGAAGCTTGAACCCAGAAAGAGATAATATAAATGGATTTTTTTTTTCCTATTTGTAGTGTCCCGGTCAGTACAGGAAGGAGCCCTGGTGGCACAGTGGTTAAGCACTCTCGGCTGCTAACCAAAAGGTCAACGGTTAGAATCCATCAGCTGCTCCACGGGAAAAAGATGTGGCGGTCTGCTTCCATAAACATTCCAGCCTTGGAAACCCCATGGGGCAGTTCTGCTCTGTCCCGTAGGGTTGCTGTGAGTCAGAATCGACTCAGTGGCGATGGGTAGTAGTAGCAGTATTCAGTACAGCAAGCAGGAGTTTTCTTCTGCCTGTTGGGGGAATGTCTGTTCATCTGGTGGATTTTTCTTAAATATTGTGAAATAGGATATTTGTTTTACGAGCTATAAAGGAAAAGAGCTCCGATATTTTAAGTAAATTAATGACATCTTTGGGGTAGAAATCCCTTGTCGTCTGACTTTTGGCATGCTGCTCCCTTCCCTGCTTGCCATTATTTACTTGCTCAAGTGACCTCTCTGCTTCTGTTCACATATCTGCTACTGATGTCACTAAAAAGGTACATTCTGTTTTCTCTTGTTTCAGAGCTCAAGCATTGACTTTCTAGCGAGCCAAGGATTTGATTTCAATAAGGTTTTTCGCAATGGTAAGATCATATGTGACTTATGTTTAGAGTTTGTTGTTGTTGAGAATATACACAGCAAAACATACATCGGTTCAACAGTTTCTGTATGTACAGTTCAGTGACGTTGATTACATTCTTCCAATTGTGCAACCATTCTCATCTCTTTTTCTGAACTGTTCCTCCCCATTAACATAGACTCACTGCCCTCTGAGGTTCCTGTCAAATCTTTTGAGTTGCTGTTGTCACTTTGAGCCCATATACAGACAAACCTTGTTTTATTGCACTTCGCTTTATTGTGCTTCACAGATACTGCGTTTTTTACAAATTGAAGGTTTGTGGCAACCCTGTATCAGGCAAGTCTCTTGGTGCCATTTTTCCAATAGCGTGTGCTCACTTTGTGTCTCTGTGCCACGTTTTGGTAGTTCTTGCAATATTTCAAACTCTTTCAGTATCATATCTGTTACGGTGATCTGTGATTAGCAATCTTTGACGTTACTACTGTAATTGTTTAGGAGTGCCACGAACTATGCCCGTGTAAGACGGTGAACAGATGTTGTGTGTGTTCTGACTGCTCCACCAACTGGCTGTTCCCTGGTCTCTCTCCCTCTCCTCAGGCCTCCCTATTCCCTGAGACACGACAGTATTGAAATTAGGCCAATTAATAACCTTGCAGTGGCCTCAAAGTGTTCAAGTGAAAGGAAGAGTTGCATGTCTCTCACTTTAAATCAAAAGCTAGAAATGATTAAACCTAGTGCGGAAGGCATGTCGAAAGCAGAGATAGGCTGAGAGCTAGGCCTCTTGCACCAAACATTTATCGAAGTTGTAAATGCAAAGGAAAGGTTCTTGAAGGAAATTAAAAGTGCTACTCCAGTGAAACATGAATGATAAGAAAGCAAAACAGCCTTATTGCTGATGTGGAGAAAGTTTTATTGGTCTGGATAGGTGATCAAACCAGCCACAACATTCCCTTAAGCCAAAGCCTAATCCAGAGCAAGGCCCTAATTTCTCTTCAATTCTGTGAAGGCTGAGAGAGGTGAGGAAGCTGCAGAAGAAAAGTTTGAAGCTAGCAGAGATTGGTTCATGAGGTTAAAGAAAAGAAGCTACATCCATAACATAAAGTGCAAGGTGAAGCAGTAAGTGCTGATGTAGAAGCTGCAGCAAGTTATCCAGAGGATCTAGCTAAGATAATTGATGAAGGTGGCTACACTAAACAACAGATTTTCAATGTAGATGAAACAGCCTTATGTTGGAAAAAGATGCCATCTAGGGCTTTCATAGCTAGAGAGGAGAAGTCAGAGTCTGGCTTCAGAGCTTCGTAGGACAGGCTGACTCTCTTGTTAGGGGCTAATGCAGCTGGTGACTTTAAGTTGAAACCAGTGCTCATTCACCGTTTTGAAAATCCTAGGGCCCTTAAGAATTATGCTAAATCTGCTCTGCCTGTCCTCTATAAATGGAACAACAAAGCCTAGATGACAGCACATCTGTTTACAACATGGTTTACGAACTACTTTAAGCCCACTATTGAGATCACTGCTCAGAAAAAAAGATGCCTTTCAAACTATTACTGCTCATTGACAGTGCACCTCGTCACCCAAGAGCTGTGATGGAGATGTACAAGGAGATTAATGTTGTTTTCATGCCTGTTAACACAGCAGCAATTTCGACTTTCAAGTCTCATTTAAGAAACACATTCCGTAAGGCTTTAGCTACCACGGATAGTGATTCCTCAGTTGAAGCTGGGCAAAGTAAATTGAAAACCTTCTGGAAATAATTCACCATTCTAGATGCCATTAAGAACATTCGTGATTCATGGGAAGAGGTCAAAATGTCCACATTAACAGGAGTTTGAAAGAAGTTGATTCCAAACCTCATGGATGACTTTGAGGGGTCCAAGATTTCAGTGGAGGAAGTAACCACAGATGTGGAATAGCGAGAGAACTAGAATTAGAAGTGGAGCCTGAAGATGAGACATTGCTGCAATCTCATGATAAAACGTCAGTGGATGAGGAATTGCTTCATATGGATGAGCAAAGAAGGTGGTTTCTTGAGATGTAATTTGCTCCTGGTGAAGATGCTGTGAACATTGTTGAAATGACAACAAAGGATTTCGAATATTACATAAACTTAGTTGATAAAGCAATGGCAGGGTTTAAGAGAATTGGCTCCAGTTTTGAAAGAAGTTCTACTGTGGGTAAAATGCTATCACACAGCATCGCATGCTACAGAGAAATCTTTCATGAAAGGAAGGGTCAGTTGATGCAGCAACCTTCATTGTTGTCTTATTTTAATAAATTGCCACAGCCTCCCCAGCCTTCAGCAACCACCGCCCTGATCAGTTAGCATCCATCAACATCAAGGCAAGACTTTCCACCCGCAAAAAGATGACAGCTCGCTCAATGATGGTTAGAATTTTTGAACATAAAGTATTTTTTAATTAAGGTATATACATTGTTTTTTTAGACATAATGCTATTGCACAATTAATGGACTATAGTGTAAACATAACTTTTGTAAGCACTGGGAAACCAAATTCATGTGACTCGCTTTATTGTGATATTTGCTTTATTGTAATACTCGCTTTATTGTGGTGGTCTGGAACCGAACCCACAAATCTCCAAGGTATGCCGGTAGGTAGTTCTTAAAAGAGCAGACATTTTTTACTAGTTAAACTAAACTATTGTTTGGTTTTAAGAAGACGTCAGAGGATATTTGAAAATTTGAGATTCTTGAACAGTTACTTCTGTTAATGCATTCTTCTTGAAATTACCTTTAGGAATTCCATATTTAAATCAGGAAGAAGAAAGACAGTTAAGAGAGCAGTATGATGAAAAACGTTTGCAGTCCAATGGTGCAGGAGCTCTGTCATTCGCGTCTCCCAACACTTCAAAATGTCCTGTGATGGTTCCTGAGGAGCAGAAGAAGTTTATTGACCAAGTGGTGTAAGTTCCTAAATTGAAAGCAAATGTACTTTGAGTAATGTGGCCGGACTGATGTCTGCATCCCAAACTTGTCCCGTACACACACAGTATATACAGAGGTGTGATGTCATGGGTGGCGGGATTTAATTGTGGCATATCTGAATCTGGGTCACAGCAGGCACATTGTAAATAGAGTTGTGCGTATCACATTAGACTCGCTCTGTGTCAGTAGGCAAGAGACTGTCATCGAGCGGGCAGACCCTCTACATGGACCAGGGGCCTGAAAGCTGCTGCCCAGCTTCCCTAAAGGCAGAGGAATGAAACACGCCCTTCTAGACAGCAACATGCCTGGGTTCTTGTCTCTCGTAGTAATGTTTCTGACAAGCAAATGTGCCGCTGGAACGTCTAGTCTTGCTTAGTTATCAGTTAAGTGTGTTACTAGAAAAGTTAAATTTTCCGATAAGGTCACATATAAACACCTGAAAAACTAAACCAGCCTTTTGCTTGCTACTCACTCAGAAAAAAAAAAAAATCACTTGGGTTGATGAATGTGTGAGAAGTTGTCACAAATTCGTTAACAAAAACAATAACCAAAAACAGTGTATGCCGAAGTTAAGTATTTTTCTTTAAGCCTTATTGAACTAAAAAAGTTAGAACATGCTTTGGTAAAATCATATTGTTATATGGTCATGTATTGAGACTGCTTTTGAGTATGATCATTCTGTTGGTTGGTGGCTTTTCATAATTTCCTGATAGTCATGGTCTTCCTCTAATTCCCCAGAGAGAAAATAGAAGATTTGTTACAAAGTGATGAAAACAAGAACTTGGATTTGGAGCCGTGTACTGGGTTAGTTGCTGTGAACATTTTCACGTTTTTTTTTTCTTTTGAAAGATAGATGATGTTGTGTTTGGTCCTTTAAAAGCACTTTATAAATAGTCTTTTTGTTATAGGTACATTCCCAAGATTTAAGCACTACCTTTAGCATTAACACAGTGGGGATTGAGACACAGAATGAATGCTTTGTCCTCTACCCAGAGGAGAGAAAACTGTTGTGCAACTTTAGCTCTAGGTTGTGCTGAAGAGACTAATTATTTCAGCCTCAAAATCCAAACCAAACCCATTGCCGTCAGTTGATTCTGACTCTCGGCAACCCTATAGGACAGAGTAGAACTGCCCCATAGGGTTTCCAAGGCTGTAATCTTTACTGAAGCAGGCTGCCACATCTTTTTCCCTCACAGTGGCTCGGGGTGTTGAAACGCCAACCTTTCGGTTAGCAGCCAAATGCCTAACCACTGCGCCACGAGGGCTCCTTATTTTAGCCTCAAGGAGTTGCTTAATACATGAAAGCCTCTGAAGAGAGGAATTCACTGTCATACTATTTCTGTGCTTTTAATTTCTCTTTGCAGTAAAAAATATCAGTGTCTCAGAGTCAACAACGTGAACATCTTCGTTTCCTCCTTTCCTTTTCCTTTGTGACAAGCTTCACAAAAGTAGTTTAATTCTTCTGTATATTTTATATAGTCATAAACCAGAAAACCAAACCCGATGCCACCAAGTCGATTCCAACTCATAGTGACCCTACAGGACAGAGTAGAACTGCCCCATAAGGTTTCCAAGGAGCGGCTAGTGGTTTTGAACTGCTGACCTTTTGGTTAGCAGCTGATCTCTTAACCACTGTGCCACCAGGGCTCTTTATACAGTCATAGGACATAGGAAGTAATATTTCGATTAGACAAGATCTTCTACCTTTTTTATGAAAGCAATATAATAGTAAAGAAAGTCTTGATAGTGACAAATTATGAGGAATATTCCCACCTCAGACATTCTGCCTATTTTAATGTTGCATATTACCTGTCAGTTCTAATCAGGTATCTTTAAGTTAAATATTTTTCCCAGCCAGTGCTTGGTCAGCTTGGATTTTCTCAAAATGAGCCAAATCCACTGTTTTTCTTTTGTTATTGTAGGTTCCAAAGAAAACTGATTTATCAGACTCTGAGCTGGAAGTAAGTGTTTCTGTTATTTGTGAGAGCTCTGTGAAGTTCCCAGGATTTAAAAACAAAATATAATCTCTTGGCTCTCATTTCCGTTTTGAAATTTTGGGGTTCTTGGTGACTTTGACCATACCAGGTTCTTGTGCCATGCTTCATGGGGTTATTACCGCCTACTTTCTTAGGTTGAATAACCACTTAATTTATTTTCTATTTTATTGTGTTTTTTCAGTGAAAGTTTACACAGCAAATTAGGTTCCCGTTTGATAATTTCTTTACGAATTTGTTCAGTGATGTTAGTTGTATTTTTCACAGTATGTCAACATTGTCTTTAATTGCGTTCTGGTTCAGTGTTCCAGTTCCCTGGCTGCTTATCTTTTCATCTTTGTTATTACTTCTTAATACATGCTGTAAGGCCTTTTAAAATCCCTTTTAATTATCACTTTGGCCTAATCCATTAAGCTCTGGATTTGTCATTCTTTTGGTCTTCGAAGGCATATGATAAAAATTTGGTTTTTGACCTAGGAAATGCCCACACGAATGCTGTTTCTAAGGCAGGAGTTCTAAACCTGGGGTTAGACCATGCATGGGTTTCAGGAGAGATCCGTGAATCCTCTAAAAGAATGAGCAAAATTTTGTATATTCTTCTAGGGGTGTTCATTGTATTATCAGGTGGATCTCTGACCTCAAAATTGAACATCAGCATTGGACAGATGGACATTTGCATTTGGCTTTCCTTGAGGTTCTTGTTCTTCCATGACAGTCTGCTGGTGACATGGATGCTGGGAAGTTGAACACAACGGGAAAGGGGCCATTGTCTAGTTTGCTCAGGCTCCCTTTTGCAGCTTACTCCATGTGGGTTCCAGATCCTGCTCCTTCTTGGCTGCTGCAAACTACCGTGCTGAACTCAAGCTGAGTCACTCGTCTCAGACCTCCCTGTGTATGCTGCCTACCATCTAAACAGCTCTTTAGAATTCAGTTAAGAAGATTGCTATTGTTGTTATATCTGGTAGCACTATTTGGCTGTGTGGTAATGAGTTGACTGTATTATGAGATACAGTGCCTAATTCCTAAAAAAAAAAAAGAATTTGAAATCAGATACATTTCATGTGTTTAAGAGCAGAGGTAGGGAAACATTTAGCACCTGAAATTACTATTTTGAGATAGTCTTACTGTAAAGTCTTCATTGTGATAGTCATTTCCTATTTAATAAACTTACTTAATTTAGTTGAATTATAGCTATATAGTTGCTTTTAAAATACTTTGGGTTTTATTATAGTTCCCATTGACCCATCTGTTTATATCATGTTTTATTTTCTTTAGGTATCCCAAAGGCATTCACGTTGAGACTTTAGAAACTGAAAAGGTAACCCCACGAATTTTCCAGGGCTAACGTTAAACACTTGCAGCGATGCACTGATATGTTGAAAGTCAGAATTTAAACCGCGGCTTTGCTACCTGTGAGTTGGATGACCTTGGCGAAGTCAAAGTCATTGAACCTCTCTAAGCCTCATTTTCCTCTTTTGGAGATTGGGGGGATGGTGATGATGAATGATCTGTCCCTACCTCACAGCTTTGTCACGGTGATCAGTGGGTACACGCAAGTGAACATGCTTTGTAAACTTGAAAGTATACAAATGCTAGTTCATGTTCTGACTCTGGCAGAAAGCTGTAATGGTATGTATGAATAAAAGGGCTTCATGTCATGTAGATAAAATTAAATTTTACAACTGGGTCATAAACACAAGCATAACTATCATCATGTATTCCCAAGTGCACAGGTAAAACTGTGAGGAGTAGTGAGTCTCCTGATGGCGGGTTCTTTTGCAAACTTCTAGAACTTAGTTGCCGCTTTTACATCAGATATAAAATTAAGTAACAGATTAAGTAAATTAAAAAACAGTTGTGCTGGAAGATAAATTTCAAACTTTGACCTAGAGTTTTGTGGTATGTTTAATTGATACAAAATGGAATGTATGAAAAAGTGAACACTAGTTTTCTGGCAAGTATCAGAAAATCCAGGAAGTTTTAAAGATATTAATAAAATATGATATAGGAATTTTAGTTTAAAATGAATTATATAGAAATTCATGTTCAAATACAACCTGTGACTTCTTAGTCCATCATAGAAAGTGTCTTATTCTCACAGTCTGTTGATACTTTTAACTGATGTCTTTTGGGTTGAGTTCCTAAGCCATGGGAAAATGGCATGAAGATGCAGAGGCAAAATTTTGGTGTGTGATGTTGTCAGCTCAACTTTGGTGTCATTTCAAAATACTTTGAGCTGTGTTTGGCCCGTGAAAGACTGTGCAGTGATAAAATAACTTCTAATGGTAGCAGAATTCTGAGTTCTTTTGGATCAGGTTGCTTCCAGAAAATGCCATATCTGCTTTATGTCTTTCAGAAAGAGCGGTATATAGTTATCAGCAAAGTTGATGAAGAAGAACGCAAAAGAAGAGAGCAACAGAAACACGCTAAAGAACTGGTAATTGGGTTATGTTGATTTTCTGAGGCAAGAAATGACAACATAGACACTCATTTATTCCCTTCTATGTTTTTGTTTCAAATCTAGATCATATGTTGGATTCAGTTTAATGAATAGTTTTCTATCATAGAAGAATTGAATTGATAGAAAAGCCTAGAATAATATGGGGGTCAGTTAAGGTTAAACATTAAGACATATCCAACAAAGTGAGTCTTAACATCATAGTTGTCCAATCTTCATTTTTATAAAGCAGTCTTGAAGAGAGTATCCTTGATTATTATTCGATTGTATGTCACTGAGTGTCATTACCCATTGACTAATATTGCCATGTCTAACTTCAACTATGGAGCCCTGGTGGCACAGTGGGTAAGAGCTATGGCTGCTAACCGAAAGGTTGGCAGTTCGAATCCACCAGCCACTCCTTGGAGACCCTGTGAGGCAGTTCTACTCTGTCCTGTAGGGCCATTATGAGCCGAAATTGACTTGACACAGTAGGTTTTGGAACTTCAACTACAGTTACTAGTTGTTCTAAAACAATGTTCAGAGCATATGATCTAATAGGTTAGGATGACGTGGTCAGATTTGCATTGTTGAAACATCACCCTGGTTGCTATGTGACAATGGATTTGAGGGGGTGCAATGCAGGCAGGGAGGCCAGTTAAGCCTTGGAGTAACCTACCTAAGAGATGTTGGTGACTTGGAATAGGATAACTAGTAGCAGTGTAGATGGAACCTGGAGATATTTAGAAGGTGGAGCCAAAGGAATTTGTGATTGGATATGGGTGGGGAAAGAAGAAAGGGGAAGAAAGAAGGTACTCAAGCCAAATATTTGAGCACCTGAGTAGATTGCATTTCACTTAAATGGGGTGGGCTGGAGTGAGATTGGTGGTGGTGGTTGGCCAGGGGGACACAGGAGGAGAGGCACAGGAGCAGGTTTGGGTGTGGGTGAATGTCGAGTTTACATGTATAAGACAGGTGAAGGCAAAGGGCTGACTGCCTCAATCGGTAGAGATACAGTGAGCCACTTTTAGGTTTAGACAGTTATTATTTACATAGGGAAAAGAAGATTAGCCAAAGATATCACCTCCCTGTGGTTCTTGTCCCACACACCAAAAAGGACAACATCAGAACAAAAGAGGCCAGATGACTGCAGTGTGAGTTGTGGGATACCTCATTACTGAGGAGCCAGTTCTAGGGCTCTATTCTGAGGGAGGCAGGGCAGAAAGCCCCATACCTTATCAGAGTTTGGGAGGTGACGAGAAACTGTCTCATGACAGCCCCCCAGGAGACATAAGGAGATGGCCTCATAGCAGCTTCTTACAAGCCTCTGTCTCTTGTTCCCTGTTCAACCAAGATGCAGATGAGCTCCGGTTTAAGCCTTTGCCTACTTAGCATATTTGTATACATGCAGGGTAGCCAGGGCACCATGGCGGGCTGTTCCCCTGCAGCGGGAAAAGATGTTACATTCTGTTTTCCACCCGATCAGTTTTTAGATGTCTTGGGACATCCAGGGGTAAATGTCTTGTAAGCAGTTAGATTTGTCCATCTGGAGCACAGGAGAGAGGTGAGGGCTACACATGGTTGTCATGGGCAAAGCCTGGGACTGTATTAGATCACCTGCAGAGTGCGTGAGGACTGAGAAGAGGAGCTACAGCAGGGTCCTGAGGGCCACCAACGTGGAAATGATAGGGAGAAGGGAAGGGCCCTGGAAGGAGACTGAGAAAATGTGCCGGGAGGTTATGGTGACGCAGGAGCCAGGGGAAGACAATGTTTGAAGAAGGGGGTGGTCAGCGGTGTCGCGTGTTCTGGAGGTAAAAAGATAAGGACTGTTGGATTAAGGAGTTGTTTTAAGGAGGTGAGTGATTTCAGTAGGGTGGTGAGGTGAAGGCAGAGTGCAGAGGGCTGAGAGTAGTTGGGACTTGAACTGGAGCTAAACTCTTTCAAGCAGTTGGGCTGCAAAGAGATCCGAGTTAAGAGGCAGTCATTGGATGGGGCTTTGAGTTAAGGAAGGGTTTTTAAGACAGACACGTGAACCTTTTTGAACACTGTTGGGAAGGAAATGGGAGAGAAGAAGAAAACGACTGGGGATGAATCTCAGAGCTCTGCAGTATAAAAAAAACTTGTAAAAATGCATTTTGTCAAGGAAAAACTGACGACTTACTGAAGTGCTTGATTTCATCAGTGAACTCAGAGTTTGATGCAGTGTTGAATTTGGCCAGCAGGTGGCAGCTTTTTTTTAAATTGTCTTCAGGTGAAAGTTTACAGCTCAAGTTAATTTCTCGTACAAAAATTTATACACATACTGTTATGTGACCCTAGTTGCAATCCCTATAATGTGACAGCACACTCCCCCTTTCCATCTCTGGGTTTCCCATGTCCATTCAACCAGCTCCTGTCCCTTCTGCCTTCTCATCCCTCCTCCAGACAAGAGCTACCCATTTAGTCTCGTGTATCTGCTTGAACTAAGAAGCACACTCCTCACGAGTATTATTTTATGTTTTATAGTCCAGTCTAATCTTTGAAGAGTTAGCTTCAGGAATGGTTTTAGTTCTGAGTTAACAGAGAGTCTGGGGGCTGTGTCTTCTGTGGTTCCTCTAGTCTCGGTCAGACCACTAAGTCTGGTATTTTTATGTGAATTTGAGTTCAGCACCCCACTTTTCTCCTGCTCTGTCAGGGACTCTCTGTTGTGTTCCCTGTCAGGGCAGTCATTGGGGGTAGCCGGGCACCATCTAGTTCTTCTGGTCTCAGGCTGAGGGAGTCTCTGGTTTATGTGGTCCTTGTGTCTCTTGGGCTAATATTTTCCTTGTGTCTTTGGTGTTCTTCATTCTTCTTTGCTCCAAGTCGGTTGGGACCAATTGATGCATCTTAGCTGGCCGCTTGGAAGCTTTTAAGACCCCAAATGAGGTGGCAGCTTTTTAAAGGTTGTGTTTTAAAGACATCTACATAGTCTGACTCGGGAATTTCAACAAATTATGTGAAGTAATGGGTAAATCCCAGGCTCTTTTGTTTCAGTAACTGATGACTAATTTACCACTTGCTTGTTCTACTTCTTAAACAGAAGAAAAGTATGTAAGTAGGTGATTTTGACACAGTTGTTTGGGAGTTGCTATGATCAGTACAAAGCACATGAAACGAAATAAAGCTACTAATTCAATATAGAATTTCAGTGCTTTTTTTTTTTTTTGCCTAACTTTTAATGCTGTCAAGGAATGTGTTATGTAAATGGTTTTTATTTATTTTAATTAGGAGGGACTGAACGACGCTGTGGGATTTTCTAGAGTCATTCATGCCATTGCTAATTCAGTAAGTGAACAGACTTTTTCTTTTTAACTCAATCCTTGAACATCATATTTAAAGTGAAATGCCTCATTGTCATCACAAAGTAATCATTTGGTCACATTTAGAATGTTAACCTGGTTTGCAGGAACAAATTAGAATTTCAGAGAGATAGATTCTCGTTATAATGTTCTTGGTGAGACATCATACTTGCTAAATTATGTCCAAACCATTTTTTCAGAAAGCCTTTTTTTGTAAAGTACATAGAAGGATTACATAGTAAAACTTTTGAAAGCTGAAACTTGTTTAAGGCAGAAACCTGAGAAGGAAAACTCAAGTATTTTGCACTGAAACGAGCCGTAGGTGGAAAACTTGCAAGACCCGGAAAGACATGGTGGTGCCGTCAAGTTCCGGCTCTCACAGGTTTCATTGTACTATGATATCCTTACGTGGCTATGTAAAACTAATGTTTATCATTCTCAAAGCCAGTAAGAAGTAAAATAAGGAAGTAAGGAATAAACGGAGAACAATCGAATGTTTGACTGAAGGCATTTTGTTCCCAAATTAGAAAAATCCAGAGGATTCTCCAGAAAAATAGTTACGTGTGTGTTTAGTTCTTCTGCATAACTGTAATTGAATCTTATGTTTGGTAGTCTTGGTAATATTTGATAAGTTTAAAAGAATGTGTTGGTCATTTGTGTAAATGTGCTGGAGGGTTCTGTAAATAGACATTTTTCTTTGTTTTGTAAATCCTTTCGCTGTGAGTTGGAGTTGACTTGATGGCAACTGGTTTTTTTTTTTTTTTTCCCCTGAAAAAAAGCATCCACATTTTTCATAGTATACTGGGTAATACTGCTGGTGGTTTTGTGAATCATACATCCAAGTTTTATTGCTTGCTTAGATACTAAATTGCCTCGAGTCTGAGACTTTCTTTTTCTTGAGGAGTTGGCCCTGAAGAAGGAATCATCTTGTCCCTTAGGTGCCAAGCTTTGCATCAGGGAAATTTTCTTCTTCTTCTTTTTTTTTTTTTTACTTTTGTTATTGTTAAAAATGTACACAGCAGAACATGCACCAATTCAGCAATTTCTGATGTACAATTTGGTAACATTGATTTCATTTCTTCAAGTTACGCAACCATTCTCGCCCCCCTTTTCGAAGTTGTTCCTCCGCCATTAACATAAACTCACTGCTCCCTAAGGTTCTTATCTAACCTTTCAAGTTGCTTTTGTCAATTCGATCCCACACAATGCTCAAGGCAGACATTCTTTACTAGTTTAGCTAAACTATTGTTTGGTTTAAAGAAGACTTCAGGGAATATTTTTGGTTTAAAGGTTAAAGATTATCTTAGCACAGTAGTTTCAGGGGTTCATCCAGCTTCCGTGGCATTTGCAGAAAAGTTGCAAAACTAGAGAGTTTCCTCACCCAGTTCCCCCAGTGTTGACATCTTATAGCAATAGGACAAACGTCAGAACCAAGGAATTAGCCTTGGTACAATATTATAAAGTAAACTGAAGACCTTATTTGGATTTCACCGTTTTTTTCCATTAACTCCTTTTTCTGTCCACATGTCTATCCAGGATCCCATGTTGCATTTAGTTGTTATTTCTCCTTAGTCTCCTGCAGTCTGTAGCAATCTTTCCTTGTTTTTAATAACCGTGAGACTTTTGAAGAGTATCAGCAGTTATTTTGTTCCCTCAGTTTGGGTTTGTCTGATGTTTTCTCATGATTGGACTAAAGATCGGCATTTTTCGCAATAATAACACAGAAGGAAATGATGGTTCATCAGGATGACCTTTTTCACTTAAGGTGGTTTCTTAAGGGTTTCTCCTCTGTAAAGTTACCGTCTTTCCTTTGTAGTTAATAAATATCTTGAGAAATACTTTGAGACTATTCAAATCAAGTTTTTTCTCAAGGTTTGGTCCACTAATATTAGCATCCACCAGAGGATCTTGCCTGCAGGAATTATTACTTAGCTGCTCTGATGTTGAGTTTGTATTACCGTCTTTCCTTCCATGTTTGTTACTTGTAAGGAATTCTGTAAAAAACTGTCTCTTCTTCCCTGTTTATGTAATCAATTATTTACGTATGTCAGTACGGACTAAGGCATATTTATTTTATTTTATGGATTATAATCCAGTATTTTCATGTTTAAGGAGCCCTGGTGGCTCAGTGGTTAAAGTGCTCGGCTGCCAACCAAAAGGTTGGTGGTTTGAACCCGCCAGCTGCTCTGTGGGAGAAAGATGTGCAGTCTGCTTCTGTAAAGATGACAGCCTTGTAAACCCTGTGAGGCAGTTCTACTCTGCTCTGTAGGGTCTCTATGAGGTGGAATCGACTTGACAGCACACAACAATATTTTCATGTTTGTTTTGTTGCTCAGATTGTTCCAGCTTTGGCCATTGGAGCACCTTCAAGTTGGCTTCTGTGTCTTTTGAACGAGCCCCATCCTTTTTTGATCGCTTCCTTACTTTCTGGTATCACAAGATATTTCAGGTTCAGTTTATATTTTCCCTACCCTACCCTTGGAATAGCTACTTTTCCAGGGAGCCTGGTTCCTTTTATTGGAGAATGGTGTTTAGAAATCAAGATCTGGGCATGAGATTACTACTGGGGTATCATTGCTTCTAGGCCCTCTCATGGGACGGAGCTAGGAAATACTTGTATGTATACCCATAAAAGAAGCCCGTTCATGCAGTAGTTAAGTGCTTGGCTGCTAACGGAAAGGTTGGTGGTTTGAACCCACCAGCAGCTCCATGAGAGAAAGACCTGGCAATCTGCTCCCATAAAGATTACAGGCTTGGAAACCCTATGGGGCAGTTCTACTCTATCTTACAGGGTCGCTGTGAGTCGGAATCGACTTGACACCAACAGCTTTGGTTTTTGGTTTACACCAATGCATGTACACACAAATTTATATTTCTAAACCTATCTATATAGATGTTAAAAGCCAAGAGTTTATACCGATGCCTTAGATTCCAGTCCAGCAGTACCGGGTTTATTTTTAGCCTACTCCCTTTCCTTATTTGTAACTGGTTCTTCTTATCTGCGCTGTATGTGTTTATTTAAGTCTGGTATACACTTGGAAAGCAGTTGGTTAGAAGTGCCTTTACTGACTAGATTACAGCAGTTACGTACTCTTCTTTTAGACTTTAGCCTAAGTATCCAGTCAAGATGCTATTTTCCAAGCTAGTTCTTTTCTTCCCAACCTCATTCAGTGTGGTTATCTTAATGCATTTATAATGCAGTTACCAGAAAACCAAACCCGTTGCTGTTGAGTCGATTCTGACTCGTAGTGACCCTATAGGACAGAGTAGAACTGCCTCATAGGGTTTCTGAGGCTGTAAATCTTTACGGAAGCAGACTACCGCATCTTTCTCCTGCAGAGCAGCTGCTGGGGTCAAACCACCAACGTTTTGTTTGGCAGCCGAGCACTGTAACGACTGTGCCACCAGCACTCCACATAATGCAGTTAGGCTCATTTATTAGTGTTTCTATTCTATTTTGAGTCCCCCCCCCAACATCTTTACTATAGTTTCAGCCAGTATTTTGTCATTGTATAGATACTCAGAATGCACACAAATACTGGGCCAAAATATAGCTTGTCTGCTAGATTTGGGAATATATCTTTTGTGTAGAATTATTTATTTCAATTAATATGCTTAGCCCTGAGTCTAGCAATGATACTACCAGCGTCATTGGGACATGGGAAAAAGCTCCACTGTAGTGGCCTGGTGCTTTCTGTTAAAAATGGTGATACCTGGCTAGATAAATCTAGGAGGACGTTCTATTATAATTTTTATTAAAATGGAGTAACATGTTGCACACACGTTGTACTTCAGTTAGTTGAAAAGCAATGAATTTTGTTGGAAATGTTATTTAAGAACACGTGCCATTAATTTTGACACAGATGATGTAGGAGATGAAAGTTCATTCCGTTTAATACGATTAAGGTACTGATTGTTTTTTACCTTTTAGTGCTGCTATGAATGTGTCTTTTAAAGATAAGTGAGTTGTTTTAAAGAATACAGTCCTGAAATACATAGTTGGAGTTCATTTACAAATTATTTGACAGTTCAAGGGAACCATGTTTTCAGATTTTACCTTTTTAATTTGAGGTCTTCAATCTAAATTTTAAGTACCTCTGATTCTTGAGGATGGCAGGATGAATGAAAATCATTTGGAGATTTTACTTTTGCATTCCAGTTTTAACTTCCCCACACTGAAGAGGAATGAAACCAGCTCAAATTTATTTGTTTATATACATTTGTAATTTTTTTTTTAAAATCTGGAAAAGCAGGTCTAGTCTGGAATATTCTTGGAACGTGAAGCATACATTTCTTTCTCAGACCCTACGATAATTTTCCACCTAGAAGTCTTTTTTTCTAACGTTGACTTTCTTTAGGGGAAACTTGTTATTGGACACAACATGCTCTTGGATGTCATGCACACGGTTCATCAGTTCTACTGCCCGCTGCCTGCGGTAAGTGACTCGTCAGCCTGCTTTTAGATGGAGAAAGGTGCTGTTGCCTCGGGTGCGGTGCAGCATGTCCCAGAGAGAATCATACGCGTTTAGTTGTACATTTTTGAGGAGATGGACATACAAGCTATTTTTAGAGATCTTCAGTCATCTGCCATTGCCTGTGGTTTGCTCAGTTAGTCCTGGGCAGGGGTTCCTAGGCCACCGGTGTGGTCTTCAAGTTCAGTACTGCTAAAATTAGACCTACAGGGCATTGAAGGTAAGTGGTATTTGAAGTCAGCTGAACTGGATCAGGTCCTACAAAATTCTTGATGTTTACCTCCTGCTGGTGGCCTCCCTTTGATCCTCTGGTGACCTCACTAGCGTTTTTTCAGCCTTTGAGCCAAGTTTTCTCAGTGCACTGCAGTGCTGGCTTCTTCTGCTCCTCAGAAGAGCTGCCCTTCCAGCCCTCCTCTCCCGCCCCTGACTGTGGGCGTGGCCTCTTCACACTTGCTCTCTGTCACTCTGCCCTCTGTTCTTTTCTTTTCTCTCTTTCTTTTATTTTTTCTGTTCCTTAGTGATCTTGCCCAGTTTCATAACTTTAGCTGTACACACCAACATTTTTATCTCCAGCCGTGACTTCTTCCAGGATCTGGGTCCACATTTCATGCTGGACTACAGACATCTCCACCTGGGTAACCTTCAGCTTACAAGTGTTGCTTAGAATTTACACATCTCAAATGAGATGTAAAGTTTACAGTACCTCTCCTTTCGTTCTTACTGTCTCAAACCAGTTCTTCCTCCTGATCCCATTGCTGTAAATGATACCCCATCACAACACTATTTTTGTCAGTTTTGACTCTTCCAGTCTCCTCCAAATCCAGTCAGTTACAAAATCCTGACAGTTTTATCTCCATGCTTTATCTCACATCTGGATTCTTTTCATTTCTATTGCAGGTACCCTTATTTCTTATCTAGAGTTTAGCAAACTCAAGGCAGGATTCCCTGTCTCCTATCTTTCCCACACCCCATCCTTTAAACCAGAGGTTGGTAAACTTTTCCTGTAAAGGACCAGATAGTAAAATATTTAGGCTTTGAAGATAGTACAGACTCTGTCACAACTCTAAATTCTGCCACTGTAGCCTGAATGCTGCCCTGGAATACATAAACAAATGGGTGTGGCTGTGTTTCAATAAAACTTTATTTTGAAAAAAAAGGACAGCAGGCCAGTCTTGGCCTGCAGGGCTGTAGGTTGCCAGCCCCCGCTTTAAACTCCCCCAAGATTAATCTTTTGTTACTTCTGGATTGAAAGATAGCTATTTTAGAGTTCAGTTTCTTTTATACATTTACAAACCCTCACTCCACATTTCTTGTGTCACATTGTTCCCTCGACATCTTGATGACTGTCCTTTGCAGAAGTACAGTGTAGCCCAGCCGAGAGTATAGTGGGTCTGTTGCTTCACTTGTCCAGTTTATACTACCACTTGTCACTGCCTTTCATGACAACTCTATCGCCCTCTGAGACTCAGAGATTCATGATTGTGAGTCTCAAAACAATGCTGTGGGTGTGAATTTGCATTTTGAAAATCTATAGAGCTAATGTTTAGTTCAAGGAGCCCTAGTGGCACAACAGTTAAGCGCTTGGCTGCTAACCGGAAGGTTGACTGTTTGAACCCACCCAGCAGTTCCAAGGGAGAAAGACCTGGCGATCTGCTCCCATAAAGATTACAGCCAAGAAAACCCTATGGGGAGATTCTGCACTGTCATATGGGGTCACTGTGAGTTGAAAATCGACTCGGCACCCAACGACAATGGTTATTTCAGACCAGATTGGCCAAAGTAGACCAAAGTAGCAGCTCCTCTTATGATCTTTTGACCCTTAAAGCAATGAGGTTATCAGTAAGGACAGAGGAAAACATAACACTCTGCTTATAAGTGTTTTGAACACCAAACAGATCTTGGCGCATAGGAGGCATTGAATTAAATATCTGTTTAACAAGTGAATGTCTTCCAACTGTGCAATTTTTTTAATCTTCTGATGCAGGGCTCTGTTCACATCGCTTACTGTGCTCAAAATTCTAAAATAGCCCCACATTCTTCGTTTTTCTACAAGGTTGACTCTCTTTAGCCTGGCGTCTCAGGCTTCCCATGATCTGGCCCAACCTTCTTGTATGGTCTAGCCACTTGTTCCTCTCCTTACTTCCAGCCAGACTGGCTCGTTTGTTGCCTGAGAAGTGCTCCCGTGTTTTTGCATGTCTGTGATTTTGGTATATAATTTCTTCCAACTTGAATTTTCTGTAGCCTTTCTTAATGTTTGCTGTACACAATTTTATCTATCCACGGTCCAGCTTACTTTTTCTCCATGAAGTTGTTCCTGCCTGCTGCGTTGCCCAAGTGTTGATCTTTCCTTTCTCTGAACTTCCACAGAACTTTGTACCTTTTATGGTACATAAATTTTGTCTTGTATTATACAGCTTGACCCCTTTCTCCTTCTAAGCAATTAGCTCCTTGGACGAGGAAAGTAGCCTTTTTATTGTTTGTGTAGAGAGCCTAGCATAACACTTTATACATACATAAGCACTTAATGAGTGTTCACTTGAATGAAGCTAGTCTAGTCTAGCCTAGTCTAGTCTAGTCTAGTGTAATCTAGTCGAAGGAGCACGTAAGATTTGTTGCAGTGTAGGCGGTGCGTTAGGATACATAGTATCGTTTCTTGCTTTACTATTAAGGATGCATGAGGAAGTTAACTTTTCTATATTCTGTCATTGTCAGAGGGAGACAATGGTTTTCTTCCATTTACCTTTGGGAGAAGTGCTGAGAATAAATGAGGAAACCTATTTAAAGTGATAGAACGTTTACGTATGCAGGTACCAGATCTTGCATTTAAAAGTATGCTAAATCCGTTGCCATGGGGTCAGTTCCAACTGTGGAGACACCACACGTATCAGAGTAGAACCGTTCTCCACAGTGTCTGTGACCTTTCAGAAGGAGTGACCTTTCAGAAGGAGATCAACAGGACTGTCTTTTAAGGCTCTTCTGGGTGGGTTTGAACCACCAACTTTTTGGTTAGCAGCCAAGTGCTGAACTATTTGAGCCACCAGGGACTCCTAAAAATTGTGCTAAAGAATCTGTATTGTGGAGCTGCCTTTTAGGGGAGAGTCTCTTCGTAGAGTCTTCTTGGTAATTCCCTGCGACCTTTTAGAAGGCATTGAACTCTGCTATATGCTGGCCCTGGAAATAGCCATAATTGTAATTTTTTCTTGCTTGTGAAGCTTTGTAGTGGTATAGAGGTCAAACAGTTCACTGCATTTTTGTTTGACTTAGCATCAGAACCACTTGTTCGTGCATTGTCCATTGATTTAATGATAGCCATTGAAAAGCTGGTGGATTTTTCAGGCTAGCTAAATACATTCTGTATTTACAGGCTTGAAAAGCTAATTGGAAGTGGCAGTTTCCTATGAAGCATGAACAACGTTGAAGAGAAGTGTAGTTACAAAGGGTCAGGAGTGTGACTACTCAGTCTAGCATGGCGATTATGTATGTAAATGAGTTAATTCAAAATCAGAGCCTTCTCAATTCAACTCTAGACTTCCTGATCAAAATAAACTCGGGAAATGAATTGTCTGATTTGGGCACTTGCTATTAGTGCCACTTTAGCAATTTTCTGAGTCATTAAAGCAGGAATCATACGTGTATTAGGAGGTCTGTGTTTTAGTGGCCATTTTAACTAACATTTCAAAGGAGTTCCCAGTAAAAGTGTAACCTAGTTTTCAGTACGTCCATCTCCTCCGTAAATCATTTAATTTAAATAACTATGCTAGACTTACTGTTGCCATGAATTTCTGTAATAGAGCACAACCTGTTTACTGTTACTGGAAGTTTTTTGGATACATTACAAGCCTCTCAAATATGTAGTTATCTCTCTGCAGTAGAAACGTATTTTTCCTTCCTATGTTTTTGTTACGGAGCCCTGGTGATGGCAGTGGTTAAGCACTCCGCTGCTAACTGGAAGGTCAGTGGTTTGAACCCACTAGCCACCCCACGGGAGAAGGCTGTGGCAGTCTGCTTCCATAAAGATTACAGACTCGGAAACCCTGTGGAGCAGTTCTGCTCTGTCCTGTATGGTCGCTATGAGTCGGAATCAGCTCGACCACAGTGGGTTTTTTATGTTGTTGTTAGTTGTTGTCGAGTCAGTTCCGACTGATAGTGACCCCGTGTACAGCAGAATGAGACGCTGCCAGTCCTTCGCCATCTTCACAGTCATGGCTGTGTTTGAGCCCATTGTTGTAGTCACTGTTAGTCCATCTTGTTGAGGTCTTCCTCTGCTTTGCTGACCTTCTACTTCACCAAGCATGATGTCCTTCTCCAGGGACTGGTCCCTCCTGATAACATGTCCAAAATATGTGAGACGAAGTCTCGCTACCCTCAGTTCTAAGGAGCATTCTGGCTGTATTTCTTCTCTCCTATATCAACCATAAAATGTTTAAATTTGTCTGTCTGGGTTATGCAGATGTTAGTTATCAGGTGACATGGCTCCCAACCGGTGAGTAAATTGGGCAGATTTTTAAAAGTCCATGGTCATCAGAAATGGCTTTTGCAGTTAGCTCAAAGGGCCTGCGTGAGGTATCCTGGTTTGGGAAGAGAACTGTGGAACCTGAGCTGCATCGTACGTGTTTAATAGTGAGTGTGATAGTGACGTCATAACAAGTCACGCTCTTGTGTTTTTAGGACTTAAATGAGTTTAAGGAGATGACAACATGTGTCTTCCCCAGGTAAGCTTTCTTTGAGGTTTTGTCTTTCATTTAAACAGTGAGTGTGACACACATAACACAGACAGTAGTTTATAAAAGTCCTTAAATCGTAGATAGAACCATATACGCTGGGAAGTGATTTAAAAGCTCCACCTTTGTAAAGGTGTGTTTCTGTAATTTATGATTGGTTTTCTGATCTTTTTAAAAATCAGAATTTTAGCTGAGAGTGAAAGTAGGTAGTGACTGCTTTTTTCCTTTCCCGCATCTTGACGCGTGATGAACTGGTGAGGTTCCCTTGCGAGATGGCACTTGTGTTGTATGTGGGATGTACCTTGTAAATATTGAAGTGTCCCATTGAGAATGTTCTCCAGTTAGTCAAGAGCGGTCTCCCTAGAAATTTTGTTCTGTATCTTAAGTCAGTGCCTTTACTTTTTAGTGTTTTCCACAGATAAGATTGCGTGCTACTGCTGATGGGTCAGATCTCGTGTCAGCCGTGTGGCACCTATAGAGCAAGACTCTGCATTTAAGGACCCATTTGAGGACAGGCATGGTCATGGAGCAGTTGCTTTTTTAGCTCAGCTGTTTTTGTCCTGTTATCTACAGTGTTCACATTTATGGGAAAAGCAACAGTTTTCACATTATTCTTATTTTTCAGTCTTTCTGATCTCTGAAGCAGAGTAGTCAAAAACAATAACATCATGAAGCTACTGAAGGCAAAATTTGACCCTCCATAAGAATTTATATTGTACAAACCTGGGTAGTAGCAGTGGGTGGTAATAGGTTGGGAAAGTTGGACCTGCCACAGTATTTGAACCATGTAAAAATACGTGAGGGTGTTTGACTTGCCCCTGAGATTGATGGGCACTTGCCCTCTCAGAGTAAAGACAAGAATCTAGAACCTGTGCTTGGGGTGTGGTAGAGTGTGGACTCTCCTGCGGCCACCTGAGGAAGTCCTTGGTGATAGGACTGAGTCCCCAGCCCACTGGAGCAGGGATGCTAGTGCTGAGTTCACAGTGGTGAGTGCATTTACTTCCCTGTCCACTTTCAAGACAATAGGCTATTCATCTGAGTAAAATACAGTTTGAAAATAATGCATTTTGTTTACCTTATTAAAAATTCTTTTGGTTTTAGACTCTTGGATACTAAATTGATGGCCAGCACACAACCTTTTAAGGTATTTAAATTTGAACTGTCACTAGTAAGCTACGTTTTGAAGTTTTCTGAAATGCTACTAAGAGATTTGGAATTCTGGTCTATTTAGATGTCGCTTCAAATACATCAAAAGGGAAGAAATTGAGAAAATAAAAACAAAACAAATGAGCTATATCAAAACATGAATAGCGGTTGTCTTTGGGTGGTGGAAATATGCCCCCCCCTTCATTTCTTTGCATGTGAATTTCTACTATTAAAATCTGTTTTTGAATAGGTTATACAAGCACACAGTTTGTTTTCCTTATTTTATATATTTTGGGTATGTTTTTCTAATGAGAAGAAAGCCCAGGTATACGAAATGAATATTGGAACATCTGTAAAAACCTTTTTTCATTACGGCTGCTTTGCATATAGTGAAAATTAAACTTCCTGCTTCTCTGTGACATCTAATAAGCAACGACTCCCATGTTTCTTTAAAGAACACAAGGGGGCAGCACTAGACACATTTTTGTCCTGACGGTCAGTGAGTCTCTGTAATGATGTACGGTTGTACCGAGATGGTGAGGACTTACATTTCTCTGCTTTCCTGGTTCACAGGATATCATTAACAACACATCCCTTGCAGAATTGGAAAAGCGGTTAAAAGAGACACCTTTCAATCCTCCTAAAGTTGGTAAGACTACAGAATGACCCCAAAAACCCTTAAACTCTGTGATAATTATTGATGTGTTTTGTGCAGGAAAGATGAGCTTACTCTAGAGACTATATTGCGCATTTCTAGATTTTGGCCAAGATAACTTGCCCATGTCCTGGGGTGAATTGATGTTTTCTGAGGGTCTTCTAATGATTAAAGAGGGTCTTCTAATTCCGTATCCATTTTATGTTAACAGAGTTAGGTAGCTGTTTCATTGAGAAGTTTAGCAATGAAAGCTTCAGAGGTTTTATTTCCTAATGCTTGGAATTCTCCCAAAACTTGATGTGTCCTTTTTTTATGATGCTTGATCGAGCCCTGGTGGTGCAGTGGTTAAACACTCGCTTGCTAACCGAAAATCTGGCAGTTTGAATCCACCAGCCGCTCCACGGGAGAAGATGTGGCAGTCTGCTTCCGTAAAGATTACAGCCTTGGAAACCCTATAGGGCAGTTCTGCTCTGTCCTATAGGATCACTATGAATGGAGTGGATTTAAGGAAAGATAAAGAGTTGGTGATAAATTGGCAGGGGTAGAGTGAAAACATTTTGTGTCTGGGCCAAGTCCAAGAGCTGAGCTTACCTATGAAAGGAAGGAGAGTCCCCACCTTTTCCCCTGTAAACTGGTTTAGGAGTACAAACGGCAGCAGTGAGGAAAACCAGAAGTAGGCATAAATGTTTCTTGGAAATGGAGGCATTGTGTTCTGCAACATCTGGCCATGGCCTCTACCCAGGTATTAGGTGAGCCTTCCAAGTGCTGCTTCCTTGATCCATGTTAGCCTGATGGTGCTGTGGATACTGTAATAAGCATTCCATTAGCTCTAGCCTGAAAACTTAGACATTGATAGTAGAACTAATGGTTCAGAAATTGACAGTGGGAGATACTAGAGCAGCCAAGGTTATAGTTAATTGCTTCCCTTTTTAGGTAATATTCCAAGAAAAAGAATTAAGAAAAAAGGGAAAGAAACTTAGAACTTCTTTTTTATAACAATAAATGGAAAAATAATTGATTTTAGAAATAATACGTTTTAGCTGGTGGTAGATAGAGGATAGTACTTAGTTGGCTACCATGTTAAAAGACTGTTTGTTAAAAAAAACTTAAAGTCTAATATTTAATACTGATGGAGATCAAAGAGTTTTTGCTGAAAGAATATTTTATTGACGCAAAAACAGTTACAGTCTCTTCACCATTAATTTCCATTCATAATTTTGATTCTGTTGTAGTAACCTTCTTGACATTCATTTCTAGAATGATTCTAGGAAATAATTATTTATGAATTACAGTTTTATCCTATTACTTCTGTATAAAATTCTGGTATCTGGTACAGAATTTAGTCTAAAGTGGGTCACTCTTCTCAGGCTTTATCCTTTCAGCATATGTGTATGAGCAAGACAAAAGATAAGAACGTGACAGTATTATCTCACCTATGAAGTGGTTCCAAGTTCCAAGGGTAGCATCATAGCAAGTTCTGGTCCAGTTTTGGAGCTAACTGGTGCTGTCATCTTTAGATCTCTACGCTTGTAAACGTAGTCGAGGACAATATTGAATATGAGTCTTTGCTTTTTAAGAGGGTTACTTAGGGTGCTGATGGATGACAGTTACTGAGTGTTTTACCATGTGCTGGGCACTATGTCAGAGCTTTACTTATCTCATTTGATCCTCACAAGAACCTTGTGAGGGAGGTTTGATTATCATTTCCCTTTTAGGGCTGCAAAAGCAGAGGCTCAGTGGGGAGGTGAGTGGCCGGAGGTCACACAGCTAATACATGTGGGAGCAGAGACTCAAACTCAGGCATTGTGACTCCAGAGTCTGTGCTGTTAATCCTTACTCTGGAATACCTATTGAATCCCGATGTTACCATTATCTTTTTTTTGTTTTTTTTGGGTTTATTATGGATTGAATGTATAGCTCAATAATACTTTTATACAGCATTGTTTATTTTTGCCATTGCTTTCTTTATAAATATGGTAAGCTGTGGATCATTAAAGGATCCTGGTGGTGCAGTGGTTGAAGTGCTCAGCTGCTAACCAGAAGGTTGACGGTTTGACCCCACCAGCTGCTCCGTGAGAGGAAGATGTAGCAGTCTGCTTCCATGAAGATTTATGGAAACCTATGGGGCAGTTCTACTCTGTACTACAGGGTTGCTACGAGTCGTTAATTAACACAATGGCAGTGGATTTATTGCTCTTTCAAGCCTTTTGAAAGTCATTGGGAGACTCTATTATTATTATTGTTTCTTTTTTTAATTGTGGTTTAAGTGAAAGTTTACAGTTCAAGTCAGTTTCTCATACAAAAATTTATACACACATTGCTATATGACCCTAGCTGCTCTGCCTATAAAGTGACAGCACACTCCTCCTTTCCACCCCAGATTTCCTGTGTCCATTCAACTAGCTCATGTCCCTTTTTGCCTTCTCATCTCACCTCTGGACAGGAGCTGCCCATTTAGTCTCATGTATCTACTTGAGCTAAGAAGCACTATCTTCACAAGTATCATTTTATATCCTATAGTCCAGTCTAATCTTTGTCTGAAGAGTTGGCTTCAGGAATGGTTTCAGTTCTGGGCTAATGGAGAGTCCTGGGGCCGTGTCTTCTGGGGTCCCTCCAGTCTCAGTCAGACTGTTAATATTAAGTTTGGTCTTTTTACTAGAATTTGAGTTCTGCACCACACTTTTCTTCTCCTGCTCCATCAGGGACTCTCTGTTGTGTTCCCTGTCAGGGCAGTCATTGGTGGTAGCTGGGCACCATCTAGTTCTTCTGGCCTCAGGCTGATGGAGTCTCTGGTTTATGTGGCCCTTTCTGTCTCTT